AAAAAAAAAAAAAAAAAAAAAAAAAAAAAGAAAGAAAGAAATTCATTGCCTTTATGACACATTAAGAGATAAGACAGGTGGTTAGGCCATGAAGGATCCATCTTCAGGGATGAGACTGGGGCGGCTATAAAATGCTAAGTTTGGCCATGTTGTCCTCCCTCTTTTCACCTTCCATCATGGGATGACACAGTAAGAAATCCCTCACTAGGAGCTGACCCCCAATCCTGAATTTTCTCAGCCAACAAAATTTTGGCATTATAAATGACCCATCTCAGGTATTCTGCTACAGCAGCAAGACAAAACAAAGTAATAAAACAAAAAAAAAAGGACATGGCCTAAACAAAAGTCAAACAAACAAGTAAAAAAGAATAAAAAAAATAAGATATACACAACACCCACAAACAGTAGTGAATCTGGTAAAATTTACATTTAACTAGCAATGATATGATGGAACTAACCAGAAGATGGTAGTGGTGGTAGAAGCAGGAATTTCAAAAGGACTCCTCTATTGAGGAAATGCTAATGAGATTTCTAGCAGAAAACAAAGTGAGAATAGCCACACACTCCCAATTTCATCACTACAGGGAGACTACCCCTCAGAGAGATTACACACACTGAAGAAAGGTTTGATTTAGTGCATGGTGAAAGACATGGGTCTACTTTTAATCTTCAGCAAAGGGAAACCTAGTTTTTCCAGCACCATTTATTAAAGAGGCTATCCTTCTTCCAGTGAAGGTGTTTGGCTCCTTTGTCAAAGATAAGGTGTCTGGAGTTGTTTCTGTATCTTCTAATCTCTTCCATTGATCCTCAGATCTGATTTTTTTGCCAGTACCATGCTGTTTTTATCATAGTAGCTTTGTAGTATAGTTTCAAGCCAGGGATTGCGACATCTTTGTTTCCCAGAACTGCTTTTGCTATCCTGTCTCTTCTGGTTCCAAATGAATTTTAGGATTGTTTTCTCTTATTCTGTGAAATATACTGTTGGAATTTTGGCTGGAAGTGCATTAAATCTGTATAATAATTTTGGAAGTATGGACATTTCCACTATATTGGTTCTTTCTACCCAAGAACAAGGGATAGCTTTCCATTTTTTGATATCCTCTTTGATCTCTCTTTTCTGAGTACTGTAGTTTTCAGAGATCAGGTGCATTCAGGGTGGTATGGTAGACTGCAATATTCAATGTAAAGGTCTTTTTTTTTTTTTTTTGAGACAGGGTCTCACTATGTAGTTGAGACTGCCCTAGAATTCACTATGTAGCCCAGGCTGGTCTCAAACTCACAGTGATCCTCCCGCCTCAGCCTCCCGAGTGCTGGGATTAAAGGTGTGCGCCACCATGCCCAGCTTATGTAAAGGTCTTTTACTTCCTTCATTAGATTGGTTCCTAGGTATTTCATTTTTTTTTTTTTGGATGCTGTTGTGAAAGGTGCTTTGTATCCAGCTATGCTACTGAATTTGGTTATTAAATCTAGAAGTATTCTGGTAAATATTAAAATAGAAACACTAAGTCTTTTGGAAGATAGAAGACAGAATAGGCAGAACTTTTGAAGATATTGGTGTAGGCAAAGACTTTATGAACAAAGCTCTGATCACAGGGAAATACTATAAAGAATCAACAACTGGGATCTCATCTTATTGAAAAGCTTTTTGCACAGCAAGAGAAACCACCAACAGAGTAAGGAGACAAACTAGTGTGAGAAAAAATTTTTGCCAGCCATTCCTCAGACAAAGGGTTAATATTTAGAATACATAAAGAACTAAAAAAAATCAGAACCCCCAAATTCAAAGATCCAATCCAAAAATGGGTATCTGAAATATATGAAAAAATGATGTTCAACATCATTGGTTATCCAAGATATGCAAATTAAAACATCTCACTCCAAAAAGAATGACTGCTATCAAGAAGTCAACCAAGAACAAATGCTGTGGGGAAAAGGAACACTTCTCCACTG